GTTGCTGGAGCCCAGTCTGGAAGCCATGTGGATGCGGGATCCAACGGAAGCGCAATACCTTGGCGTCATCAACATTCCAACAGGAATTTAAAGGCTTGTTGAAGGCGGCATTGACAGGGGAGAACGGGAAATGAGGTGGTTCAGCATCGGCGCTCCTCATCCTCACACGATTGCCACATTCTTCTCCTCCGATGGCAAAGCAAATTGCAAAATACCTGGCACTGCCTTAATTTTACTTTCACCCTTAAGGAGTACACGACCTTGACACAAAAGACTTTTTAAGGTCACACTACGGTTTGGACAAGTGCCGAGGCTAAAGTTCCATGTTTTGAGGGCAACTGAGACAGTCATCCTGCTTTCCTTTCCTTTTGTTGCCTCAGTAAAATCGTCACCAGCGCGTGTGGTGATTGGTGGGTTTGAAGGGAGTGCGCGTGTCTACAGCGCGCTGTTGTCGTTCTCCACTCACACAAACTTGTGTGTGGGTGTGTGCCGAGACAAAATCCACCGTCAAAACTGGTTGCACAGTGGCAACAGCAATCCTTTTGTCATTTCTGTGCTCCTTTTCTCTCATCAGCCTCGTCTCTCTCTCTGTCTCTCTCTCACTTGACACCTGCCAGACAGGCTCCGCTACCTACACCATTAATTTGTGGCTGCAGTGAGTACAATCAAGTCTCTACCATCTTGTTAGTCACATTTCTCTGCAAAATACGCTTTCACTCCTCACCTTTGGCGCTGTTTTTCTTTCAGATTGCAGTTTTACTGTTTGCTGATCCCTCAAGGTTGTGTGAGGCATGAAATCGTTCCACTGCACCGAATGTGGTCGACTATTTTCCCGGAAAAGGAACCTTCCAATTCACATGGACTCAGTTCACAGAGGTAAATCCACAAAAAAAAATGGCAATGCTTTTCGCATATCTCCTTTTTTTTCCATTAAGTCATGGTAGCCTGTCATGCTGGGTGTCAGAGGGTTGTCAAGCGCACTCTTTGAAGCAAGGTTAATGCGATGATTCGAGGTGGAAGGTGCGCGCTACTTGTAATGCCATAAACAAATCTTCTCTTTCTTCTTCACCTTTAGGCAAAAAGCCTTTTACGTGTGAGAGATGTGGCAAATTCTTCACACAAAAAAGCAATCTAAAGAGTCATTTGAAGGCAGTTCATGAGAGTAAGTCGTCTGTTGCCTGTCACTTTAAAGCCTCAAGCCTCATAATCCCTTCCTGCTCGTTGTGAGCGGCAAACTTTTCCTTCTTAAGACCTCAAGCATGGTTTTATGGTGACTACACTAGGAGTGAAAGGTGCCGCCTTTCACCGACCCACCCAAAGCTTACAGTGGCACTGCCTTTAAGGTCTCAGTGACGTGGCATTTGAGGTGTTTGCCTCCGTGTTTAGTCACCTCACCTTGTCCCTTACAGACATGAAGCCGTTCTTCTGCAGTGAGTGTGGCAAATCCTTCTCCCGGAAGCCGCATTTGGTCACCCACCTGGAATCTGTGCATATGGGCAAGTTGAAAGTCTTCTCCACCTCATCCAGCCAAGTTGATCCGCTTCACCTCACCGCTCTTTCTAGTCGTGTTGTCCTCCTCCTCAAGCATCTTACGACACCAAATTTGTGCTTTTAGGAGCTTAAAATGCACCCCATTTGCTCTCTTGTCACCGACTTGATGGAGTGATTAACAAGCGCCGAATTCAATGTTTTAGGCAAGAAACCATTCGCTTGTGAGGTGTGCTGCAAAACATTCACCCAGAAGAGCAATTTGAGGAGCCACCTTAAGACAATACACGCAAGTGAGTCATAATCCACTAAGTTTTCTCCTCTTCATTGCCCCTTCCTCATGTGTATCCTCCCTTCGGCCTTCTCGCCTCAGCAATTTCACGCAGCAGCCTCGTAAACGTTAATCTCGACGCCCCGACTGTGCCTCACATCGTGGCACCAAAGGCGTCGTTGATGGCAACAAAACAAGGGAGAACAGGTCAGAGATCACTGACTGTGGATGAGCGAGGCCAAGCTTTATACGAAGACACTCCAGGACCACAAATTTTGTGACAATGAATGCAGACATAGACAGAGAGTGCTCCTTACAGTCTCGTGTATTCAATATTTTTAAAGACTGTTTAAAAAGTGCAAAAAAAACCCAACAAAAGTAGTCAAAAAATGGTCAAAACACAATTATGATTTTGAAATTACTACTAGGAGAGGGCACGAAGCGGACGCAACTCAGTGGGTTGACATAATAAGAAAGGAGGAGACTGGTGTTAAGGTTTTGGCTATCAACTGGAGGAGGTTATGGCGGTGGTGCAACAACAAGACCGGAGGTGGAGATTATGAAAGTAGACAGCTTAAATTAGGCAACTAAAAGGCGTCGTTGAGAGTCGATATGAATGAAGGTGCCCACCTTTTGAGAATGAACAGACAAAGACGCCATGGTGTCAGTTGCACAAGTGTGTGAGATAGGACATTTGTACATGGCGCATGACGATATGGTCATTGCGCACAAACTGTACGCCTCGAATGCTCTACCATCTCCTAAGCCTTAGGATGAGTGTCCTGGATGAGTGGCCAGTGTCCTGGGGCTGCCTAAGTGTTTTTCAGCTAAGTTATCAACGCACTGCTCCTTTATAGTCCTGTTTGGAGCACTGATAAACCCTGAACTAGTGCGTTTCTGATGGCAGAGATAGGCAATTTGATTAAGGCGCTTTGTTTAGGTAAAATGGGCTAAATGGGCTTAGTTACACATGCCGGAATTCCTTGTTAGGAGATAATCCTGTTGTAGCAGGAATAAATTTGCTTGAGTGGCATAATTACACATACACAATTATCTCTCCCTAAGGTTCTTATTTATGTCATTTGTGTTGACTGATATAACTTTAATCGGGCCAAGATGGCAGTGGTGAAATTTCCAAACAAAAAATATATTTTCCAGTATAGATCAACATAATTAATGCGGCGTAATTCCCGATGGCTGATTTAACAGATAAGTGGAAAATCATGGTGTAATATATTCTAGTTTGTTTAAGTGGACTTTTTTAGGCGAGAGGCGGAAACCATTTGGAAGCGTGGATCACGTGCGCGAGGTCGACGAGGTGCCTCCCTGCGATTGACACCTCCTGCTCATCACATCTGAATTTTATTCCCCTATCCTTCTTATAGAGATGCCTAATAAATCGTCCACAACCAACTTCCACTTAAAGTCTGAGAATCAGGGACCAGAGGGTAGACAGGCAGTAACTACACATGGTAGTAAACCCAAAGACAAAAGACTAGAATTTCACTTGTGGCGATGGATGGCACAAGGGCAGCTACTCATTTACGTCTTTATGGGCTTGAGAGATGACAGAACCAAAAAAGGGAACAAAGGAGAGTCCTGTCGTAGGCGAGCTTGTAGTGCGGTGTTGCATAGTATTTCTATAACCGCATACAGTATTCGAAAAGTAAGTTCTATAAAAAGACATTGTTGGCACGAATACACGACTCCTCTAAAGAACGTATTAAATGACTAGTAAAACACAGGGGGACGATAATACAGAAAATGTGCAAAAAACGCAGGGTACCATCATTCTACAGCACAGTGGAGCCTAGCCACACTTCGTAAAAGCTTATAACCCTATAAACGCAACTCTTCCCAGAGCATAAATGTCATCTGCAAGCATGCGAATCTCTCCGTTGCGGTAATAAACGTTTTGTCTTACATAAATAACAGCAATGTTAAATGGCTCAAAATCATAATCAAAAAACAAAAAATGGCTAATATTATCTGCATTTGTTTTTATTGACGTGTAGTCACCTTTCGCAATGCGATACCATCAGGGCTATCATAGAGCGGTATCTTCGAATTGGCGTTCGTATGTGTTCCGAGTATGTATGTAGCTACCTTTTGTATGTTATGGGCTCTATCCTGTAATTTCGGACTTGTACGTACCTTCGGACGCAATGAAAAGGAAAAATTACTGCTTATTTCAGCCGAATACATTCCATTGGGCATTTTTGAAGTCCCAGAAGCCAACTTTTCCACATTCCGTACGTTAATGGAGGAAGGATGCCTCATCCCGAACATTTCCATTAATAACTTCTCAACTTCAGCGGAGATACACTCAATCTTGTTGTCCGGCGGTTTGTACCAGGGCTCTCATGACAATAGATCCCGTATATTGCCATGTGACAAGATTCTCTTTTCAAAAATTTTACCGCATTTTGAGCCACTATGGTTAACTAATCAGCGTCATGGACTGCACAGCGCCTCATTTTTTTGGCCTGATGATCATGTGGCCGTGAACAATTCCCGACCTTTTCTTACTGCTGGTATTGATCCGGATGCGCGTACCGTCTATTTCGATGTCGATCGAATTCACCGGTGGCTTCTCAACCCATCTATCACCTTCTTGAGTATATTTATTCCTTGCCCATATCATGGGGATGATTCCAACTTCATTTTCGACTACGTCGAGTATGCTGATGCTTTCCTTTTTTCTCTTCTCTCACGTATCAAAAGCTCACCCAAATTAAGTTCTTTAGTTAACATTGTTTTAATCGGCGGCACGGCTGCTGTTGATGCCCAATCAAATGATGAAATTGTTCCCATTCGGAAGTACTTCCGTTCTTGGCCAGCTTCTGCTTTCAGCAATCACTTTAATCGTGGTAGATTTCTCGAATTTTGGCCCACGCCTGGTACGCAAATAGTCGTTTTTGTTTTTACTTCTCTCCATAGCATGATTAGGAGTGAAATGTTTTTAGGCGAAGAAGATGCGGATATGGTGCGGCTGCTTACAGAAGAAAATGACGACTTCTTTGTCTGTAATACTGCGGAATTTCAAAGACGGTTTTCCAGGTTCAATATGGGACTGCTACCGCCGTATTATCTTGTAGCAAAGCCAGGAAAAGTGCTTCAAAGTGAGTTTTTTTCCACTTTTATCCTTTGTTTTGGCCTTTCATTGCTTTATCGTCTTGATTACATAATACTTGTCAAACTCGTGGCTATTTTTACTCACGGAAGACATTTGTACCCAACAGTAGTTCTTATTCCCTTTTGAGTTGCTTCAGTCCCAGTTATTTTCCTTGCCAGTTGTAGGGACGCCATGCGATTTAGTGATAAATCAGACGAATTCCAATCCAACTTTGTGAAAATTTTCCCTTAGATCGTTTCTTGTGATTTTCTTCACTCTAAGGTACAATAAATGGTAAACATATTGTTGCTTAATATTTCGCCCTCAGTATTTTCATTCTTTTCATCATGCACGTGCAACTTTCTGATCTTCCGGATCTGAGCTCGGTATCACAAGAGCGAATGGCACGTGGTCCGTCGGATCGTGCTAAGTGCAGAAAAACCAAAATGTATGCTGCAAAGGGCATTCGTTTGGGCATAAAACGGTGAAATGAGCAAGGCAATGCTGACATGGTGATAAACACCTCATTTGTTGTCATTGTCCATTTTACACTTTTCCATTACTTCCGGTTCGCTTGTAGTGATTCCTTTATCGTCACACGCATGGTAAATTGTTGTCTTGGTGCCTACCACTTCCCTAATCAGGCAGCACCACTGAGGGGTTGATAAGTGTCCCAACTGCCAATCTCAGGTCTTTTTTGGTATGGAAAACGGTTTTTGTATATGCATTTTGCTTAACTAGAATAAACTAACCTCATGATTAACTTCTTCCATCTTCATTCTTCTGTGTTAGCTTTTAAAATCACTGATTTGGCGTTAAAAGTCCTAACAAAACATTTTTTTGACTGACTTGTCAGATTGATTCGTTTGCTAGTACTAAAATCGTGTGTACGGAAGACTATTTGTCAGTTTAAGGTTGAGACATGCAAGACTGTTGGAGTGTTAAAAGTAATCATATTCTTTTAGAACTGGCAATGCTTTGATGTCATTCGTGCCAAGGATTGTTGTGACTATCAACTGAAGTTTGGTTATATTATAAATTGGCGTTGAAAGCCTTCGCCATTTTTTCCAACTGCAATTGGATGTTGTTGCGTTTTTTCCACTTACCAAAAGAGATTCTGCTTAACTAGGTCCTAATCCTTTCTCTAAATGCCTCGGTTATGGGAATCAGTGCATTTTTATCTCATTTTTTGCCATTTTCCTCTGCTTTGATAAACTTGAACAATTTAGTGGATTGGAATTTCATTTCTATCTTGACTCTAGCGTTGAGGTTGCCTCCGGTTCCTGTAAGCGATTAAGTCGCACTTATTTGGAATCGCATTCGCCTGAAGTCGAATCTGAAATGAAAATATAGGTTGATTTTCCTCATAAAAGCGCCATTTCAGATGTTGAAATGAGTGATGACGTAAATGGATAAGTGGGGAAAGGGATCAGTGAAGGGTATTTGAGGGCGTTGGAATTAATTAGCTTTCACTGCGGCAAGTTCTAAATGCGTTGAGATGACAATAAAAGGCAGGCATAGGCATCTCCAATCTAGTTTTGTGATTTTGTCTGTGTGCTTCTGCTATCACGTTTTTCACAGCCTCTGATGTGCAAGTGATCACTGGTTCAGTTTGATCTGCTTTTACTCTTGGTGATTACACTGCTACCATTGTTCTCATCAAAGCCACCGAGGAGATGTGGTTCATCATCTACATTCTTTGGGTATAACAGCTGTCACTTACACTACTCCACATTAAAAGATAGATTTGCTATCTTCCTCCTTTTTTATGGAGACTAAGTAGGTGTCACCTCTGCGCTGCCTCTTAGAAACAATTGAGTTTGCCTCGACCACCTATTGGTGGATGTTGGAGAGTGATTAAACGGCTCTAAATGATTGGGTGCAAGAATTATTCTTTGCAAACTCAGAGATGGATACTTTTAGCCGGATGGTGGACTGCAAAGTGACCTTTATTTAACTTTATTGTTGATGAACTGACTCTAAGGAGTGTCCAAGTCTTCGAAGGAAATTCAATTTAAATGTTGCACCAAAGTCAACATTGGCAATACCCAAGACGGCACTCTAGGCACTTGATGTCTCCTCTCTCATTCGTCTGTCGCATTCATTTAGTGATCTGCCTTCTTTTGTAAGAGAATGTATTGCTTAGGTTGGTGGCACAGTCAACACACTCACCTTTCGGCAGTTGTAATTAAACTGTTGATAGCAATGCTGCGTCGCGCCTTCCTTACACACTATGCCTGCGCTCAAAAGTGACATTCAGTTTCCTACCTGCGATTTGAAAAGCCTTCCTTGAATGAGGGTACTGTGGCACCACGTAACTCGATCATTTGGGGGTTGAAATTCGCCAAAATTGAATTAGCAGATTAAGACTTGTTTTACACTTCATCCTTCATCACTATTAGCACCCTCACACATGTGTACTACCTCCATTTTTCTCATCTGACCCTGACGATTAACAACCGTCACTTTATGTCAAGTGGTTGCATTAACTTGAGCTGCAAACAGCTCGGTGAGGTTGCGGTTAATAATAAAGGCATAGAAGTAGGATTTCGAAGGCTAGCAATCACATAGTGCATCAACCTGACGTCAGTTCTCCCAGTTATTGACATTTTGGAATTCTCCTGCAATAGTAAAGCTGTCAATTTTGCCTCTTCTTCCGCCTCCATATTTTGAGGTGACCTCCATTTAAAGCCTACGGGTGTGGAGGGCTTCTTCATCTCTATTTTGACTGACCTTTGCATGACGCGTACGAAAAGCAATTGTGTGGTTTTTGAGACAATTATTATCGCTCCCTGCACAAGTCTTTTCTCAAGAGACCAGCCTACTATAGACTCCATCCTGGTGGCGAATGGCTAGTAAACCATCTCCAGTCCTCCTTCTGTCTTCTACCTGTCTATCAGCTCTCAATTTACGTTAGGATCTCACATTATAGTCGAGTAAATGAGTGTATGGGTAGTCTTTTTCACGCGCCTCTGCTCTTATATCTCTTTCAAAGGCTGTTCAAACCTGACTGTCGACTTCTGGACTTCAAAAACTGGATTACTCTCGATATTTCCATTTACGTCGGGTTGAGGGCTAAAGTGATGGCTGATTGTAGGACTAAATCACTTTATCGCGTTAACTAAAGCATGCCTTTGGCGCTTTTTACCTAAGTGTTACTTCAAGAAAGCTCATTCACATTTTCATGCAGGTCTTGGTCGGTCACCACTTTGTTATGCACGATTGTGCATTTCCAGAATATGCAAATGCGCCTTTTAATGTGCTAATCGCCTGTCTCTGTCCCAGCTGTACCAGCACAGTGACTCACGATTGCATATCAGCTGGGTGTAGAAACGACTGGTTGCTTAGCTGGGCACCCTTGTCTAACCTTTGTTGGAGGACCGCTCCAGTTGAAAATAAACTAAGGCAACAGTTGGGGTGCCTTTTTTTACTCCACTCTGATGCACTTCTTGATGTAATTCCCTTTGTCCGCTAGTTTTAGTACTTTCTTTAGACTAATGGATTGATGATTTGAGGTCTGGATCAAACGTCTTAGCAATGCTTCTGAATCTTTTACAAACAATGTCTTGATGTCATCTTGAGTGTTACAAACTGTTGGAGGATGACAATCTGTGGTGGATGCGTATGTGTGTGGAACTTCCTCGTCTAGCATCGGTATTAATTTTAGAGACGCTTTTGAGAGCGAAATGACATGCAATTAATTTCATTTACAGCAATAAAGTGCTCCCACCGATGGTTGCGATAGCGTCTGGGCTACTGTTTATGCGTGGAGTGCTGTCTAATTCCAACAGAGCCTGTGGATGTAGAACAGATTAAACAAGTAGCAAAGGAAGGGTGTGGATGTAGCGGAATATTGCAACAGCTATTTTAGCTAAACCATTGACATCGCATTTGGTTGGCGTGACGTCGACTACGAGGCAAAGACCTGCCAACATGGTGTCGTTGTTGTTGCGTTGATCTGTCACGTCCCCTGTTCAAATTCGACTGGGAAAACGAGTGGTACTCAGTGCAGATTTTTTTTTCTTCGTGAGAACCTTGTTATTGAATCCCATTTCAACTTTCTTGCCACTTTAATAGTATCCTTTCACTTGTCAAAGTAGATTTTGACTCCTTTCGGCATGAGAGAGTGACACACCACACTTTCAATGGTCCATTTCCTTTTGTTCTCTTTCGACTATATTTTTGGTCATCGTATTGAACTTGAAGTAGGTCCACCGAAACACCTATTAATGTGGCAGCCTGAGCAAGCGGTAGCCCAGATGAAGCTGACAGACTTCTACTCCATGGACGGGGAGGTCTCATTGTGAGGAACGACAAAGTTTCTGTAAACACCTTTCTATCTCTTGTCGTCGCTGATTTGACATTCTAACTTCTTCCCTTCAATAGTCAGCGATACTAGGGGCTCAGAAACGTCAACAAATGTGAACCGGTTGTCAGCCTTTGCTCTCCTCTGGGGCAACGCTTTCATCTCCGCCGATACGTCAAGCATCTGTGGATTGCATAACCAGTCGACCATAACGCTGCACCTGGCCGACATTTATCCACTGGTGTGCTGGGTGCTGCACCTACCTCGTCCGTGGCTTCACTGGGGCAACTTAGCACGAGTAACTCGCCTTCTCAGCCAACCGCCTTTCCTCTCCCAGGTGAAGGAGTTTGAGAGACGATCAAGGGCGTGGACCACTCTGCCAATCGGTATTGATAGTAAATTGGCAGTGTCAAAGGAAACCTTCCTTACGGGTAAGTTGCTAAGGCATGCTGTTTAATGGTGCTACACACGATAGTGAATGGCGTGCTCTGGCATTCTCTTAACTACTTCAATGAGAATAGTTTGGTGTTGAACAAAATTATGCTACCAGCTACCATCCAAGACTTTTGGCAACTCTGCTCTTCTTCAACTCAGGTGGCCTCATATCCGCCTTCGTGGTGATTTTCGGCATCGTTTTTGCAGTTTGCGCAATAAAAGTGCATCGACGCTACCACCGCACTTCCGGTGGTGGTGATAACTTTGGCAGGGTACGTTACCACAGACGTCGCATTCCTCGTCCTTGGCTTGCTCCTTCGACCTCTCCTTATGTCCTTCGTAACCAGCGTCTCCTCAGTAGCTCCACCGGAGGTCACAGTAACGAGGCCACAGAGGAAGAGGAGGAGGTGCTGATCAGTAACGATGCTCTCACTCGAAGCCGTCGCCGTGATGACGCAGAAGCCTTCATTCAGATGCTTCACAGTCCCTCTGAGAGTTCCATGCCGAGAACGATGCCAGCACTAAGTGGCGCTTAATTTGGTCTGCTGCCGTTGACTAGTGCTTTTCTTTTCTTTGCATTCCTGTCACTTCTTCTTCTTCTTCTTCTTTCTCAGCCTTTCCTTTTGTGCACTTTTTGCTATTGCTGTCTGTGATATAACTTTTGTCTATTTTCTGACTTAATTAATGTTTACTGGGCCTTAGCAAGTTATCGGCAGTACCTGCTACAGATAGGAAGAGCTTGCATGGAGGTGCTTTTCGCGGACGCAATGTTCTTCTGGCGACTGTTGCCGATTGACTGGTCGGATTCATCATGTCAAGCACCACGCCCCATCCGAGGAACAACAGTTACTATAATGCGTTAGTAAGAATGAGGATTCGGAGCCCAGAAACTTAGTAGAACTGGCTGCTGGTGTGCAGCAGCGCCTTATGCGGTGGCTTTAGTAACCAAAAGTCGTCAGCGTTCCACTCAAAAAGGGCGTCCATTTAGTCCCGACAGCTAGTTAAACACTAGGCACTGTGGAATACACTTAAAGGCTAAGAAAGCAGGCAATAAATTTTAGCACTAATGTGAGCGATTGCTCTTTCTCACCCCATGGACTGGTTGTTTTGAAAGCTGCTGAGTGCATTGTTAGAGGTTTGGTGACGGAACAAAAGTCTATTCGGGGCTGTCCGAGGCACTGATGCTACCAGTGTTCAGGTAACTAGAAAATTATACTGCATACTTTTAGCATTTGCGAGCACTTATTAACAGGAATTCCGCACTAGGGGAGATATTTGCTCACTAGTTCTAGGCGCATCCCTTAAAATGGCTACTGAATTATTTGTCAGTAGTTTGGCAAAGAGACGGTTTTCATTTAATAATGCCTCAAACACTGCAAAGGGGAAGTTGCTTCTTCGCGAATTCGTAAAAAAATAGATCATGGAGTTAGAATTGTGTTAACGGCGCCTCCGGAACAGGTGTGCTCATCGAAGTAATGACCAAAATTCGACAAGGCATAACCTGTAATACCTGGTTTTTGTTCAAGTGAACCTTTTTTTTTGGTTCCCTGTGTTGTCAGTAAAAGTTCGAGATTTTTTACTTAAATACCACAAGTAGTGCTCCATCGCCCACTTGATTTGACTTAAAGGATAAACTATTTTTTGCACTAAAATTATCCCACCCATTTACGCGGTTGGCGACAGTAGCGGGTCTCAACACAAAGATTTTAAAGTCCAGAAGGAGGATCACATGCAAAGCTGTTGGGGAGATGTTATCGACCGGCCATTCAAACTGCGGAAGCCGGAAGTCGAACAACAAACGGTGACCTTCCTCTCTCCCAATTTCCTTGTCTAAACACTTCAAATTAAAAAATGAAAATGTCAGAAGCCTCAAGTAGTAATCAATGCAACGGTCAATCGTGTTGCGGTCAACCACAGTGTATCGCCTCCTTCTGTTCACCCCAAGTCACAACCGGATGCACGCCACAGCGACGTGTTACTGGAATACTGATGCCAACATTTGCAGGAGGCAAGTATATGTGTCTGAAGCCCAGCCTTTCCTGTGGCGTCTACGGTAATCCCCCATCCTGCCAATCGGAGAAATTGGATGAATGTCAGGTAGAAGAGAAGAAACTTGCAAAAAAAGAATCCCCACCTCCACCTCCACCCCCTCCTCCTCCTCCTCCTCCAGAAAAGGACTCGTGTGCACCTGCAAAGCGTCAGGATCCCTGCCCTCCCACGTATCCTGGGCTAGAAAAGTGCGGAGCCAACCGACCTACGCCAACGCAACAGAAAGCTCTACTTACCAGGACAGATTGTGTCACGTCCAAGTCTGCCATCCCATCAAAAGAAAAGTGTCCCCCTGTTCAGTGTACACCACCGTTAGCCCAAGACAATTGTTTGCCCCAGAAAAGCGCCACAAAGCCCAATTGTCCTCCTCAAAACTGTGTAACAAAAGAAGAAGAAAGAAGAAGCGTCGGTGCACTAATACAATGCGGCGCACCAGAACGCGCGTCTCCGACGCGTTCATCAGTTGCTGACTCTCCTATCAGTCCAATAAATCGCGTCTGCTCTCCACCCAGCTATCAGGTTTGTGCACCACCACAAGCCGATGACCCCAGAGTAAACAAGGCTTTCCCTCCCACTACTTACGTGCCCCAAATGGACTACTGCGCTGAGAACACAAGGCCTAATTGTCAAAGTCCGATGAATTCGGAGTGTGTGATTGCTACACCGCCAACTCCAGACATGCGGTGTATTACAGAGGAAGTGAATAGAAGGATAATGCAGTTGGGAAAAGAGTGTTCGACAAACTCGGGGACGTCAAAACCTCCTCCGAATAAGACACAGAACGTCTGTGAAACGTATTCGCCAGGAACCGCTGTTTGTCCAGATGCCCAGCCTACCTTACAAAGATGCCAGACGCCGACCAACAATCCGTGTAAACCCACCCAACCAGACAATTGCCCACCTCAGCGACCACAATCGTCGACCCAATGGGGGATGGACAACTGTCCGCCCCAACGAACAACCAACAATAGGAGCCCATCACCAAGATCAAACAATAACATGCAGCATGAGGATGATAACGATACATCGGACAACTCTTACTGCTGGAAGTAGGGAGTGTCGCTTAGCATCCCTTGTTATCAATGATGGCTATTATTTATGGTTTACTCAACTCGGTTGTAAAGTTAAGCCAAAGAAAGGGAGTCAATTCATTTTAGAGGACATACGCCCATCACCTTAACATTTTGAGTTAAAGATCCATTCGATAAAAATATATTATTTATCATCCTTTGCAAACTTTTCACAGGGGAAGGCTGTTGGTAACCGACGGGATAAGGCACACTCGCCTACTTGCAATTTTTAAGTAGTAAATGAGGACGACCGGAATCGGTTCTTTCACGGGATTCACGTGGTGCTTAGTTGGAGGCTGGATTCCAGTTTCAACGCTTGTCTGTTCTAAAATGCTCAAAAACAAACTAACCTAACTGACCTACAAGATAAGTTCCACGCGAGTAAACTCAGGTAATCAACAGTCCACATGCTTTGAAGCACTGGACAGTCTAGTCCAGCTGCACCATCACCGTCGCACACAAGCAGCTACCCAGAGCTTTTAATCCAGAACTCCACCACGCATGGAAGACAACCCACACCTGATCGAATGCTATCTTTTCCCTCCAACCAACTTTCTTCCACCCAACGAGTTGTGGCGAGACAAACATGGCAAAATAAATCGACCTATGAATACACTGGTGGCGACAGACAAAGTGACCTAACAACCAGATACTCCACGACGCAATTGAAGAACACAGAGCCCGAATACTCCACATTCATGGATTGCAGAAACGCACATTATCGCCATAGACCAATGCGGAAGGATAAAACAACGAACTACTCCGTCACACCAAAACCAAATGTGAGGGGAAACAAAAAAAATCTCCTCCCAATCGATAAAGGGAAGCGTCCAGAACACAAGCAGACGATCCAAACAGCCATTTATAAAAGACAATGACAGCAATCCAGTGTGCAACTTGTTATTCAAATCATGGTTTTCAACAACCTATTGATATAATTCTCCCGATTTCCAAAGTCACCACCCTCGACAAAGTGTCTGCCTTTCTTGCGGAAGCCTCCCGTCGGATTGTTCAGCTTAAAACGCCAAAGGAAGGACGATACTTCCTTGAATTTGGGGCCGACAGTGTAAATTTCGTGCACCAGGTCTTCAACACACACAATTCCAAAGCGACCAAGTCTGTGTTGAATGCGCTCATTGGTAAGGGGTAACCTCTGGCCGGCAACTTTGCAAAATCCGCGCTTGTAAATAAGACGCCGAACAGTTTTCAAGGAAGGATATCCCCAGGCGATGTAGGGATCGATCAAACGGAGCATGTTCAACGTAGCCTAAACAGTAAAAGCACGAACCACACTTACCTTGTTCAGCCGAACAAACACACCGTTATTTATTTGCAAAAGACGCATTAACTGAAGAGTCTTCCTAGGCTTTGGATGAATCCCATTAATGCCCCGAATCCGCACTACGAAAGCGAGCTTGGGCTCGGCAGGAACGTAGAAATTTCCATCCCTCTGCGCACTGCGCATGAGATTAATTTCACGCTTAGCGGCACGTTTATACTCCTAGAAGCAAACTAGAAGATACAACAGATGCCTACAATTAAGTGCTTTTGGGCGTGTTCGATGCAGATTTTCTTCATGCGTAGATATCTAAGACGTTGAAGAACTTTTTTCTTGACCGCCAGTTTCAATTTCTTTCCACGAATCAGCTGTTTATACTTCAGTTTTT